CCGGCATGCTAACTCCTGGAGTTAGCACGTCAGTCCCGGCTAGATTCATACCAGGCTTCATCGCAACCATTACAAGGAAGTCATTTTATGAAGAAGGGCTGACGTGTGGCATGCTAAACTGACGCGTGGTAGACAAGAATGACCGGTTTGTGACTGGTCTGACGCCGGTCACGTCATCGGCAGACAACCGTGCTCCCACGTTGCGCCTGCTTCCGGCGGAGTGGAGGTAGGTATGGCCCATCCCATCGGAGGGTCATTCGGACAGCAGCCATGGCAAATCTCCGCCCATTAATGAGGGAGTAACAGGGAGATCCCCGGTGTCAGGCGAGTGATGACGCTGGGCCTCACTCAAAGACAAGCTGTGATTTAGCTTCTAGGCGAAGGCGCAAGCCACTTTTTTTTGGAAGATAAGGTGAGTCCCCACCCAAAAGAAGAGTAGGTAGAAGTGGTGCATGTGGTATCCCCTTGAGATATAAAAGGAGGACCTTGCCCACTTAAGAGAAAAAAGAGAGAAGAGGGGGGGAAAAACACCGGAGCTCGGAGAGGAGAGAAAGAGGAAGAGGGTCTTTAGAGTTTGAACTCTCTTGCTCTCCAGCTATTTGTAACTCCTTCATACACAGATCCACCAGAACACAGGAGTAGGGTATTACGCTTCTCAGCGGCCCGAACCTGTCTACATCGCCCGTGTCTTGCGCATTTGCTCTCTCGCGAAACATTCCACAGATCGAGGGCTTAGAACCTCACCTAGCGCCCCTGGCCGAACCGGCAAAGGGGGGCCCGCGCGGTCTCCCGGTGAGGAGCCCCACGCTCCGTCAATTATAAATTCAAAAGAGAGTTTATTTGATTTTGAACATAAAAAACTTTTATATATAATTTTTGTTTACAAAACATACTATTTATAAATTCATAAAATGTGCCAACGAAGAACGATAAAATTGTTGTTTTATGTTGCTGAAATGAACTCAGCCGAAGACTGCCCTACTCTCTCCGCTCACATTAGTTTGATTAATTCCCTACTTGAAGAAAATAATGCTACCAAAGAGCTGGTGGCAAAATCTTTAATCTACATCTGCGTTGAAAAGGTGCTCAAAACCACTGCCTCTCTTGGGGATTAGGACTAGTTGGTCCTGATCTGCCATAGCAAGCCACCTCAGTTTGTCACCCCTTTTCTTCACCTCTCTGTTGCCTACTTTCAGATCCAAGGAATCTGAAAAGACAACCAAGTTAAACTTAAACAAGTAGAGCATCTTTTCATGCTTTTAGCATGTCTATAATTAGAGGCAGTACGAGCTAATAACAACGAAAATGACAAAAACAAGCAAAATTCTACTGCCAGGACCCCATGAAAACAGTAATTTGTGCAGTGCTCCAGCTTGTTAGTACTCTCCCATCCCATAATATAAGGGATTTTGATTTTTTTTCTTACACTGTTTGACCATTCATCTTATTCAAAAAAAAATTGAAATTATTATTTATTTTATTTGTGACTTACTTTATTATTCAAAGTACTTTAAGCACAACTTTTCATTTTTTATATTTGCACAAATTTTTTTAATAAGACGAGTGATCAAACAGTGTAAATAAAAAGTCAAAATATTTTATATTATGGGACGGATGGAGTAGTATAATTCCTGGGCATGAATATGGTGCTAAATATAATTTGTCTACTCTAATAAGTTATTTGACTTTTTTCTAGTCAAACTTATTTAAATTTGATCAAGTTTATAGAAAAATATAGTACTATATTCGACACAAAACAAATATACTATCAAAATATATTCAATATTAGATTCAATGAAACTAAATTGATATGTTAGATGTTGCTAAATTTTTCTATAAATTTGATCAAACTTAACACTAAAAAAGTTAAACGACTTGTAATATAAAACGGATGAAGTAGTATAGATAAGCCTGAAAAGCTAATGGTCATTTTCATTTTTATTCTAAGTTTATGGTATAATCCAATGTTGCAATCAAAGGCGGAGGTAGGCCTATAATACCAAGGGCTTGAGCTCTAAACTTATCTTCAAATATAGGTTAAATATCTTAAAACATCAAGTAAATCTTAAAGAAAATCAATAAACTATTAGTTAAATCCTAAGTTGCTCGCAACGCTCCGCATATTCGTGTTCCAGCACGAAACAGACGATGGTGCAACCAATGAACAGCATAGAAGCACATCCTGATAAAATTTTGGACTCATCCATGGTGTGACATCAAAACAGTATTGATATGTTCCAATTACAAAGCAGCCAGACAGCTAGCTACGAGTGGCCGGTAAGCGTAGCCAAGCAGAAGACGCTTTCTCAGCAAAGAATTTACTAAAACGAATGAATCAGTTTGTGCTATTAGAAATTTGGGAGAGTCTCCGCACTAAAATTAAATTAATCCATTCAATTCGTTCACCTGGACAGCTTCAGAGCTACCAACAACCTCTCCATGATGAGTATTTTCGGTGTCACAGAATTTCATTTTTTGTCGTAGGTAAGGTAACATTGGGTTTATTCATTGATGGCAAGTTCAGTTATTGACCACTGCAATAAAGAGGGATGAAAGATGACAAGCATATGTGAACAATGAACAGGACAAAAACTAATGAGTTGAGGGACCATAGTGAAGACATTCAGAACTCATAAAACACATGCAAGCCTGGTTTCAAAAAAAAAAAAACACATGCAAGCCTTAACTCGTTTTTTTTACCCTCAAGAAACTTCTGCCGTTCAAAACTTCATGGGTGAAAACTTCAGAACTGTATCATCTGTATAGTAACCTGAGTACCTGACTCGCTGACTATACAGATTTCAGAGAATGCATGCTCTAATCAGCAGCATGTTTCATCTGAAAACAACTAGTACTCCTACTACACACCATGGCCACAGTAACTTTAAGCTAAGCCCCGTTTAGATCCCCAAAAGTTTTTCTAAAAACATCACATCGAATCTTTGGACATATACATGAAGTATTAAATATAGATTAAAAGAAAAACTAATTGCACAGTTATGGGGGAAATCACGAGACGAATCTTTTGAGCCTAATTAGTCCATGATTAGCCATAAATGCTACAGTAACCCACATGTGCTAATGACGGATTAATTAGGCTCAAAAGATTCATCTCGCGGTTTCTAGGTGAGTTATGAAATTAGTTTTTTATTTGTGTCTAAAAACCCCTTCCGACATCCGGTAAAATATCCTATGTGACACCTAAAAAATTTTATTTCGTGAACTAAACAAGCCCTAAATGACAGCAAGTGACAATATTCAGTCCTAGAGAGGCCATTTCTCAGGCTTTTTTCTTTAAAAAAACTTTAATCAACACGTGATGGTAATTATTTTTCAACTGAACAAGATAAGGCCCCTTTTATTGTACTCTCCTTGTCCTGCTTTGGTTAGGTGTCTTTTACCAAACGATATTCATGGAGCATGTCCCACTTGTTTTTCCGTTGCCCCTATAGCTAAAAAAGATCAAAGGGGCCCTGCTTTGCTTAGGTATAATCAACAAGAAAGAAATAATAGCAAAGCATGCCTTTGGTGCAATGCAAGGCATGGCATCTTTAGGAGGAAATGATTTTTTTTTGTGAGGCGAGGAAATACTCTGTGTACACTAGCTAAGAAAAATATTTGATTGCATTTTCGTAAGTTACAGAACTCATTATGTCTAACCAACCATTTTGCTAGTACTACATAAATGTATTGGTTTAGTTTTCTCGAAGCAATATTTCTGGGACATTTTTCTGAAAGCAATATGACCGCTATTTTAGATAGCATGCACATGTTCCATTTATATTTTTCTAATTATATGCGCAAATGTAGGTTATAACTGTTCCATTTATAATTTTCCAAGTGTATACAATTAGGCTGTGTTTTTCTCTTAATTTTTTCAACCTCCATTCCCTCATTTTTTTCGCACATACGTTCAAACTATTAAAGGTACGCTTTCTTAAAAAATAAGAAAAATATTTTAAGCTAATATTTAATTAATCATATTCTAATCGTTCACTCAGTTTTGCCCTGTATAAGAAATCCATGCCTTACTCAAGATTACAGTAACAAATTGTACAACAACAAAAACACATGCGTTCCTGGAAAAATCAATTCGCATGATTGAATTCGTTAACATGTACTCAAGTATAATAATATGTCAACGTTACTGTTCCTCGATTGATACTTTGTCAAAATCAAACCAGATAGGATAAACACATACGCAAGCAGGAAAATACATACACAAGTAGTATGTACTCGTCCGTTCCATAAAACCCAATCCAGTTAGGAATAGAACATTAGATATCCAACGATTCGTTGTACTAGGCAATGTCGCATCCCCAATTAATTTAGTTTTTTTTGACGGAGGGAGTAGATGATACACAGGAGATGGAGAAACACATGAAGTGAGTTTAGCTTAACTTATTACGATTATGGCTGTGTTTAGTTTCTGAAATTGAGGAGAAGTTCAGGGAAAGTTGTTATTTTGGGAAAAAAGTTGGGAGTTTATGTGAGTAGGAAAGTTTTGGATGTGATGGAAAATTGGGAGTTTGGGAGAAGTTTGATGTGAACTAAACAGGACCTATGATTAAATTCTTTGTGAGAAATTAGTCTAATAGTAAATTCGTACTAAACTTGACACAGACGTTTGTATTTATGTCTAATTATTTTTTAGAGGTAGCCTGGTAGGCGAGATATATCAGATTAGTCTTCCAGAGGGCATATAGAGGTAGCCTGGTAGGCGAGATATATCATATTAGTCTTCCAGAGGGCATATAGAGATAGGGTGTGGGTGTCCGCATCACATGGGTGTGAGTGTGAGCGGTTTGCATGTTCTTTCTAGACAAATTTAGGAGAAAACTTCGTGTGCACGTAAGTATAATCACACTCCCGGCAGCTCGCCAGACGAGCCGAGCCTCTCACTGACAACTGGGCCCGCTAAATCTACTCCTGTAACTCCGCTAAGTCCACACGGACACGGGCAAACGAAGCGCCAACACACACACGCACACGTAGACGAATACGGACTCGGGGCACCCGCGGCCTCCCCCTCAAACACACGACCACGACCAGTCGACCACCACGTCCTCCTCCCCCCCTCCTCCCTCCTCCGGTTGCCTCTCCGGCCTCGCCACCGCCATCGCCTTCGCCTCCCCGCCTCCCAACCGCCCCACGTTGCGGGGAGACAGCTCGCCGCGGGCGGCGATCATGGCGGCGGCGGAGGTGTACTCGCCGACGGCGGCGGCGGCGGCGCAGCAGCAGCAGCGGGGGAAGGTGGCGGCGCAGGCGTGGCAGGCGGTGGTGGGGTGGATCGGGTTCCTCCTCCAGGTCCTGCTCCAGATCCTCCGGGGCACCCCATCCTGCGCCCAGCTCCTCTCCTTCGTCGGGTTCCGCTACCCGCTCCTCTCCGGGCCGGCCGACTCCGAGCAGTCGCCGTCGGTGGCCTTCATGCCGCTCCGCTCCGAGATCCCGGCCGACACGGCCCCTGCGCCGACGCCCCCGCCGGAATCCCTGCAGCGCCTCACGGTACGAAGATTCGGTTTTGAGTGGATTCGTTGACGCTATGGGGTTCCTCGGTAGTTTGGTAAGGGGGGAAATGGCTAGTTTAGGGATGATATGGGCATCATTTGGATGAAACAGTAGATGTGGGAGGAGCCTCTTGATCTGATTTTTGATGTCCCGGTCTTCGTGGGAGATTTAGGATTTGGTAGATGCGTAGAGTGATTGATTTGAGGTTAGCTGGGTGTTATTCCGGCTTAATTCAGGCAATTCGATTTGTTTTGGGGGCTAATTATTGTGTGGGTTGTAAAGCTGACCTTTTTTGTGGGGATTTGAATTGCGATGATTTTGTTTTCTTGGCTTACGAGCATGGGCAATCCGTTGTCCTGCAATCCCCAATCAAGTCCTCGTTTAGCAGCCAACAATGGCGTTAATCCGTCTCTCTGAATTATACTGCTTGGATAATTCATGAAATGATGATTTAATATTCCAAAATTGCAACGGTGCTGGTGTTGGTACTTAACCGGGACAATACATTGCTGCAGTCTTTAGCAGAGCTGTGGATGGTAATTTAGAACGTCCGTTGAAATCGATGTGTAGATGAGTAGATATTTGAGCAGTGTTGTGGGATAATGCATTTGGTGATGATACATTATGACTGTAATTGAATCAGAATTATGAGATTATACATATGGTGATTATATATGAATTATCATGTGGGATTAACATTGGCTAATTTGCTCATAGCAGGGTTTCCTGTTAGCATATTTTGTTTTAGTGGGTGAAGAACTTGGATGGTTTTATGTTGAGCTTTCAGTTTTACATAAAACAAAAGATGAAATGATAACAGTTTTACATAAAACGAAAAATGAAATGATAATTATAAGTTATTCATTCACCATTTCTGAAAATATTTGGGTTATCTATTCAGGTTGTGCTTGATTTGGATGAAACTTTAGTTTCTGCATATGAATCATCCAGTCTTCCAGCTATTGTACGCACCCAAGCTGTTGAAGCTGGATTACATTGCTTTGACATGGAGTGCATATCCACTGAGAAGGTACAGAACTTGTGCTTTTGGCTCTTATTGTATGTAATGATTTTAATCACTACTGCTAAAGGATCTTTTGCTTGTGTGAACTGTAAAGGATGTTGAAGGGAGAAACAAAGTGAATCATGTCACCGTTTTTGAACGTCCTGGTTTGCACGAGTTCTTGCAGAAAACTAGTGAATTTGCAGATCTTATTCTCTTTACAGCAGGTTTGGAAGGTATGTGCTTGCTACTATTTTTCTTCATTCATTTGAACCCAATTAGCGCCACCTCACATGCCCATGTTTGTTCTCAGGTTATGCAAGACCTTTAGTTGACAGAATAGATGTCCATAATAGATTCAAACTCCGTCTATATCGTCCATCAACTGTTACTACGTAAGTTACTGTTAACTTTCCTATGGATACACATGGTGTTTTACCATATTATCATAGTGCTGCTGCATTCATTACTATGCTTGCTGAGATGTGTGCCAAATTAGTTGAGGGCTATGTGTTAAGTGGCTTTTTTTCTTGCTGGAAATGTCGCATAGGACCTATTTGGTGTTTGGCCAATGCGCTTTCTGATATCCATGGGATGCACAATTTCAGGGAATACAGAGAACATGTCAAAGATCTTTCTTGCGTGTCAAAAGATTTCTGCAGAGTTGTCATTGTTGACAACAACCCATTCAGTTTCATATTGCAACCTTTGAATGGAATACCCTGTGTTCCATTTTCAGCTGGACAACATAATGATAATCAGGTAGCTGATAACTGCCACCAGTCTTTAGCCATGTTTGAGTTTCCACTACTTACTAATTCTGACTTGTTTAAACGTTTTCAGCTCATGGAAGTTATATTTCCACTTCTGAAGCATCTCTCTATCCAGAGAGATGTTAGACCAGCACTATACGAAAGATTTCATATGCCTGAATGGTTCCAAAAACATGGCATCCCCCAAACTGATCAGGCAGTGTAAATTTTGCAGCCGCTACATGAAATTGTTTTGATGAAGGCTGAAACGCCTGCCACGCCATAAGTCCGTTCTCAGGGGATAGCACCTGTACATTATTATTTATATATTCGTTTAGGTTTCCTGGATCCTGATAAAAATCAAGTCAAGGTTCGTACAGAATTGCCATGTCTGAAGACAAAAGGAATTGTAATCTAGCAGAATGTTAGATTGGTATTTGTGTAGTGGGGCATTTAAACACCAGTTGTATATCACCTTCTGTTGTAAAATTTCATTGTTGATAGTTCAGTTAGTCTAATTGGTATGCTGCCAGCATCCTGCTTGTTCCGTTCAGCAAAGGGTTCAGCATCAGAAATGTTCTTGGCACTGTACCATCACTTCACTCCAACCAAAAAACATGTATTTATATAAATGTAGTTATCTGATGTTTATATTTACAAAGGCCTAAGCCCAACAAACAGCACCGATCAGTGATAACACTTTGGTGTCTAAAATTTAATTGAAAAAGAACTTCCACAGTGGCCACGCGCACTTACAAGTTACAACCTTGAATTGTCAATGACACTATGGTGTGTATTGCTGTCTGGCAATACACCTGAATTTGTCGTCAGAGAAACTGGAGGTTCTCATCTGAACTTCTGGACACCAATGGCGTTGGGGCTTCTTATCTGGCTGATAATCTGTGACGACTCATCAAACTTGCATGCTCTCTCGTACACGCCGGCAGCCACAAGGTAAAGCTCCCTCTTGTCGATGCTCGGGTCATCGCTAAGCTCACCGAGCAGTGCCTCCAGCGCGTCGAAGTCCTTCTGGGCGCCGAGCAGGCTGACCATCTGGAAGTGCACCCTGTCTGAGAAGACGCATCCTTCCTCCCTCATCGCCCGGTACAGCGCCGCCGCCTTGTCGAACTCCTTCAGCTTACCATGAGCATTCATCGTGATGGCGATCGTCTCCGAGTCCGGCAAAGACCCCGCCTTCCTCATTTCGTCGAACACCTCGATCACACTCCGGTGCCTCCGGCTCTTTGCGAACAAGTCAATCATCATTCGGTACACCGATGTGTCCCTGACGTCGCCGGCGTCGGCTGCACGGCGGAACAGCCATGCGGCCTCCTCCACTCGGCCGGCATTCGCCAAGATTTTGATGGCTGTCTCCTTGGGGACGTCCTCTGAGTCTTTGAGGTCATGCAACAGGCGCTTGGATTGTGAAACAAGCCCGGCACGCTCGTAGGCCACGACCATCGTCTGGTAAAGCACCGGGTCGATCTCCGTGCCGGCTTCCCGGAGCTTCTCGAACAGCTTCCCGGCACGGTCGAGCTTCCCGGCCTTCACCCATATGGACAGGATGGTTGAGTAGGTGATGGCATTGGGCTGGATGCCATTGGCCTGCATGTCCTGCACCAGGCTCCCGGCTTTCTCGTCCTCCAGCGACTTGCCGTAGATGGCGATCATGGTGTTGTACGTCACCACGTTCGGCTTGATGACGCTGCCACCGCGGTCGCTGCCATCGGAGGCGGCGCTACGCATGAGGCCGAACAGGTGGACCGCCTCCCCGAACAGCCCGGCGTCGCCGTACACGCGGAGCATGGTGTTGTAGGTGACCACGCTCGGGGCGACACCAGCACGGCGCATGGACCAGAACAGCCGGTCCGCCTCCCGCGCGAGGTCGAGCTGCCCGTACGCGTTGAGCACGATGTTGAACACGGACAGGTCGGGCTTGACGCGAGCCACGGCGCGCATGTGCGTGAAGAGCGACACGGCCGCGAGGTGCCGCCCGCGGCGCGCCAGCGCGGCGAGGATGGGGGAGTACGACTCCGCGTCGGGCGCGACGCCGTCGGAGGGCATGTCGTGGAGGAGGAGCCGGTTGGCGTCCCGGAGCAGGTCGGACTTGCAGTACGCGGCGATGGCGGCGTTGTAGGCCTTGAGGTCGGGCTTGATCCCGGCGGCGCCCCGAAGGCGGGAGAAGAGCGCGAGCGCCTTGGGCGCGTCGCCCCCGCGGAGGGCGAGGTGGATGAGGTTGGAGAAGAGCACGAGGTCGGGCGCTACGGCGTCGTCCTCCATGAGCGGCAGGAAGGTGAGCGCGTGGTCGAGGTGGCCCGCGCGGGTGAGCGCCGCGAGGAGCGTGGAGTACGAGAACGCGTCGGGGGCGACCCCTCTGTCCCGCATCTCCAGGAGGAGGCCGGAGGCGAGGCGGAGCATCCCGGCGCGGCACGCGGAGCGGAGCAGGAGGTTGTACGGGATGAGGAGCGCGGAGGCGGGGAGGTCTGGCGCGAGGAGGTCGAGGAGCGCGACGCCGCGGCGCGCGTCGGGGAGGCGGGAGAGGAGCGTGCCGAGGAGGCGCGGGGAGACGGGGCGGTGCGGGGAGACCGCGGCGGCCAGGTCGGAGGCCGTGCGCGCGGCGGAGAGGGCCGCGAGGAGCGCGGGGAGGTCGGGCACGTGGTCCTGGCGCTGGTGCTGGGGCTCGGCGGGTTTCCGGCGATGGAAGGGCTGGGAGCTCGGGAGGCTGGGGTTTACCCAGACGGATTTTGCGGTGGCGGGGAGGCGGCGGTGGGAGGAGGAGGAGGAGGGAGAAGGGAGCGCGGTGGCCGCGGCCACGGCGACGGCGACGGCGGCGGTCGGCGGCATTGGTCGTGACCGGTGAGCGGCGCCAGTGGTGGGGCACGGGGATAATGGATAGAAGGGAGGGAGATTTTTGCGTGCCGGTGACAGAGCGAAGTGTCGCGACCAGATCTGATCCGAGACGTTGGTTCAAGATCGGATGGATAGGAGTTGTTGGGCTGGACGTACACGGTACACTGCCCTTGCTGGGCCGCGTTGTGCAACTTCATGGGCCTGCAAATCTGCAATGGTGGTACCTTCGGCTCTTCCGGGTTACTCAAAGATACTAAAAACTCTCTCATGAGACTAAAAATTTCTCATGGACAATAAAATTCCTTCTGTACTTTCCTGTGCATTTAACAAAACATATCTCCACGGGATTGAGATTAGAAGGGAAATTTTCACAGAAGTATGGCGACAACTGAAGAAATGCAGGATGATTATTTCATATTTTCACTATGTTATGAAAGATGAATCAGATGGCTTACAAGAGCCTGTTTCAACTGTACATGTACACAGGAAAATTTCCTCATATTTACATACACTCACGAATCTTAACACTGAGAGCAGGGCTTCCACTCCAAGAATTGCCCTGAAGAAACGAAACAAGAAAATTGTGCCGCATGCTAGTTCAGCAAGCACAAAGGTAAATCCTTCTAAAACTCAAGGAAAGTGTAAAATGTTTCATGTCATGGACTCATGGGGAAACATCAGAAAATCAATCCATCTTTAGAAGATTGCAGGGATCCAGCTTAGGAGCAGTTGAACAAAGCACTTAAAACAAACGAAATGACCTGTTGGTTTCTCATTAGTCATTAGTATGCAAATGAAAGCCATTGATGTTGTAGCGCTTCACTTGCCGTTGGTCTTCTCCTGGGGTTTATTTGCAGCAAATAGGATAGAAAATCAACAAACTCTGAATCAGGGCATTGTAAGTGATGCTGCAGAGAAGACTTTTCTGGGATCAAATACTCGAATTGATCTGTTTCCTGAATAGAAATGAGGTAAACAACAAAATGAGTTCAGTGTTCAATGTGTTATAACTCGCACAGTCCACAGAGAGAGATGGACATGATGAAATTCGAGTGGTCACAGGAAAGGCTACTTCCACTAGCACTAAGAATAGTGTACCTCATTCTTGGTGAAAAGGTCGTAATCATCAGTGAAATACTTTTGCGTCTCCTCTCCCAGGGCAAGCATTTCCATGTCAATTGGGCCAATTATCCCAATCATTTGAGCAAGCATTATGGGCACTGGTTCATTAGGAAATAGTACCTGTTATGTGTACCAGTTAGGAATTATAATTAGACGATTAGCATTTTTAAATTTTAAAACAACTTTGTTTCCATATGGATAACAACAAAACAACTTGAAGCACATTATTCGTTTCCATGTAAAACGTTCTTATTTGTCTTTATTTATTAAAGCCAGTCCTTGTGCCCCAAAATTTACTCAGGCATTCGTTCAAAAAAAAATAATTCTGGCACAGAAGTTTGATCTCTATTTTCTGTTTGGAGCTATATGTTGCATAGCATTTAGACAAGAAAGAAGGTATCAAACATGCCAACACAGCACTTCACTATTAATGCAGTGTGTTGAAATCTCCATAAAATTCTATGTGCTGTATGACAACAGGCCACTATGGGTTTAACACAGCTAAAAGGTCAGCACGTGTCCAAAAAGAAGGATTAGCAAGGTACAGAAGCTTCTTACCTCACCAGTGTAGAGTTCCGCAAGGATGCAACCAAGAGACCAAATATCAATCCTCTGATCATAAGGAAGCCCCAGAATGACCTCAGGAGCTCGATATGACCGTGATTGTACATAGAGACATAAGTTGTCTGTCAAGAAGCAACTACTTCCAAGATCGATAACCTTAATTTCACATCTGCTGTAGCTCTTGATAAGGATGTTTTCAGGCTTCAGGTCACAATGAATGATCCTTAAATGATGCAAATATACCAAGGCTTCTAAACATTGCCGAGCTATTGCCTGAAAGAAAAGGGGGAACTTTTGTTCATCAAAACCTTTTTTCTTAAGTTAAATTTAATTGCACTTAAAACAGTTAATCATTTTATTTACAGCAGTATCATTCCAAGAAAATGATCAATTACGGTTCAAAAACTTTATGTTTAAATGAAGCATATTAAATTGGTTTGGAACATTGCATATCGTGCATACTACAAATTGAACTGTAAGTGTCTATGCATATGCAACAATTATAGATAGCATCTTAGTATAGAACGGTCAAACATACCTGTATTCTAGGCAATGTGAAGTATGCTTCACCACCAGATTCCTGATTATATTTCTGGAACTCATATAGATTTGCTCGCAGTAATTCAGTGACAATAAAAAGGTGTTCCTGTTGCAATGTCAATATGCCGTTACAGAAATTCTATGATTTTGCAACCGCAAAAAATAAAGTACTAATAAATTCTATGATTTTTCTACAATTAAACAAGCATGCAAGCAATTTAAGAAATCAACTGAAAATAAGAAGCTATATTGCTTTTAGCCATCATAGATCCTTTTCAAAGTTGCCAAAGACCAACAATATATCCCTTTCAAACTTCCTTAGCTTCCGAATAGCCAAAAAGTATGCAGCATAACATCAATGCAAAGGGAGTATCTTAGTCAACTTTATTTCTTAAGTGATATACCTGATGATAAAAATAGTCATAGAGACGCAACACATGATACTCATCTAATGGA